CTCCCTCGAGGACACGCAGCCTGGGCCCTGGAAAACCCTGGCTGCAGGGAGACCTCCCGAACAGGGCCTGTGGGCCTGGGGCAGTCTGGGGTGCTCCTAGACTGCCGTCCCGTGCGCATGGCTCTCTGGGCCGTCTGCGTTCCTGGGGAGGGGTGCCTTCTGTCCTGCCTTTGTTCTCCCGCTTTGGCCCTTGGGGCACAGGACCGCAGTTATGACAATTATGGTAAACGATGTCCAAAGGTCGGTGTTCCAAGAGAAGAGCAAAGGTACTAGGGAAGCACCCTCTGCCCCCAGGGAGGCTGCCCAGGTCCCCCGGCACAGCGGCCCAGGCTAGGCCAGGCCCCGCATGCGCAGAGGAGCCGCGGTGATGCCCAGCTCCTGTCGCAGGGCTGGCAGGGGCTGCTCCCAGCGCCGCTCGTAGTACAGGTTGAGGACACATGGGGCCCTGTGCCCGTTCCGAACCGCCCACGGGATCAGCTCCGAGAGCAGCACTTGCAGGTTCCTGTGGGGTGGCAGAGGGAAGACACCGCATCGGTTCCCTGAGGGCCAGGCCTGGCTTTACTGGCACTCAGTCCCAAGCAGGAGGGAAGCACAGTGCCCAAACTGCGCACCCCAAACTCCTCGAAGCTCGGACTGCAAGAGGGCTCTGTAATTCCAGAAGCTCACGCACCCCTGCGGCCCCGCTGTCACTCTGACCCAGCCCTGAGGCCCCGAAGACCCTGGGGCCCAAGCTTTGTTCACTGCTCTGGGCCGGATTCCCCTTTCAGACTCCATCTTCCTACCCTTGCTTCCTGGACAGCCTTGGAACTGCAGGTGTCTGTGTTCCCCTGGCATTGCCTGGAGTCCTGGCCCGAGTTCGCTCCCATACCACCCCCGGGCCCTGGTGCCACTGGAAAACTTACCGAGCGCTGAGGCGGATAGGTCCAAAGAGCGCACCCAGCACGCACATGGGCAGGCCTGTCTGCACGGCCTCGAACCATTTCACCACGATCTCCCCTGGGGGTGAGCGGGTAGGAGGTGAGTGGCAGTCCGTCAGCCTCCCTGACTTCTCCCAGGGCTCCGGCGTGCCCTGTCACAGACTGTGCTGCCCCGGGGACACTTGGCTGGGGGTGGAGAGGGGCCCGGAGTAAGCAGGAGAGGAAAGGCTGGAGGAGGGGACGGGGTGTCAATGCAGAGGACCTCGAAGTGAGGCTTAGGAGGCTAGGAAGGGGCCTTAGGGGGGCGCTGAGGGTCTCCCAGCGAGGAGGCAGCTGAAGGCCTGAACAGGGAGAGAGCTGGGGCGTCTGCATGCTGTGACATCAGTGTAGGCTGCACAAAGGGGCACTGGGGCGGGGAAGAGGGGCTGATGTTCTGTCAAGTAGCAGACACTGAGCCAGCTGACGGGAGCGCGGTGATGGGTGAGCCCCGCCCTGGCCTGCGGAGACCGGGGAGACGGCCGGCGAGAGCATCCTGCACCAGGCACTCACCCAGGATGTTGGTAGGCATCCCCAGCAGGGTGTGGAGCATGTCGTGGACCTCCCGGTACCGCTGGATCACATATGCTAGCTCCTCATCATCCACAAAGCGGGTGGGCGCTCGGGTGTCTGGGGAGACCCTCTGCCAAGCAAGAACCTTCCTTAGAACCCTCCCTGGAAGTTCCCAGGGCCCTATTCCCCAGCCTGCATGTGAAACCACCCCCCAGCAGACTCACCTCCTGCCAGAAAACCCTGGCACTTTCTGCCCGAGCTGGCTACACAGGAGGCCTTGGGCGGGAATGCACCCACCCATTCCTGGGGAATGGCTGAGCCTGTGGGCTGCCAGGGTAGCAATCCGCAGTGGGCAGCGAGGGTGTAATGTGGAGCTGCTGAGTGGGCACAGTCTCCATTTTGCAAGATGGAGATTAGTTGCACAAGCAGATGAACACCCTTAACGCTACTGAACACACTTAGAAATAGTTAAGACGAGCTGGGGATTTAGCTCAGCGGCACAGCGCCTATCTGGCAAGCATGAGGGCGTGAGTTTGATTCCCAGTACCAGAAAAAAACAAAAAAACAAACAAAAAAGAAATGGTTAAGATGGTAAATTGTGCCATTGGCATTTTTTAAAAGCCGCAATTAAAAAGAGGGCCTCGTGTGGGATGAAGGAGCAGGGAGGTAAAAAGAGTTAAGATGTGTTCTGTATGTGTACCAAAGTCCTGTGATGAATGTAATTGTTATATATCACACTGTATTCCTAGCACTTGGGAGGCTGAGGCAAGAGGACTGGCTTGAGTTTGAAGCCAGCGTGGGTTACACAGTGAGATCCTGTTTCAAAATAAAAAATAAAATGGGTGGAGATATAGCTTACTGGTAGAGCACTGGCCTAGTAAGAAAAGCCCTGGGTTTAATTCCCAGCAGGGCATAAATAAGTAAGTAAATAAGTAAATAAATATTGCTGGTAGAAAGTTTTAAATGACCTATCTGCCTAAGTTTTTCCTTGTTTGTTTTGGCTTTTTGAGAAAGGATGTTGCTAGGGAGTTCAGGCTGGCCCTGGTCTCATTATGTAGTCCAGGCTGGGCTCAGACTCACAGCCATCCCCCTGCCTCAGCCTCTTAAGTGCTGGGATTACATGCAGGTGCCACCACGCCCGGCTTGAGTTCTGTTTCGGTGGACAGTGTCGCTGCGTGAGGGCAGCACTGGCTGTTGTGCTCCCTGCTGTACCTCTGGTGCTGGTCCTGGGCCCGGAGGACTGAACGTCTGAATGTGGGAGTAAAGGGGCAGCCCCCCACACTCCCGCAGCCTGGGGCAGGAGGTTGAGCGTCCTCCTTCGCCTGTCTCCTGGGTCCTCAGCCGTGCCCAGGGTGACAGCTGCCTGTTCTGCCTGTCCAGAAGCCAAGGGATCTGAGGTCTTCGCAGCACTGCGGCGCCTGGCTCAGGGCCGCGGCTCCCACCTACTGTGTGAGGCTGAAGCGATCGCAGTACTGGCAGCCTCTTCTACTGAGTCCTACCACGTGCGGCCTGGGCCCTGTCCTCAACAGCCTAGGAAGGGGATTCTGCCTTTACTTTAGCTACGAGTGAGGAAAGCAAAGCTCAGAGACATAAAGTGAGTTGCCCCCAGTCGCACAGCTAATGAAGTGGCTGAGTTAGGACTGGAAGCAAGTCTGCTGGATTCCGAAGCCTGCACCCCACCCCCCTTCCCTTATCATCACAGCAAGGGAGTGCCCCGAAGGTGCAGCCCGGGTCCCCTCACCGCAGATTTATCCAGGGTTGTAAACCTGGGGACAGGGGCAGGAGTCCGTTGCTCATCTTGATGCCCCTGGTGACCTCACCCCTCAGCAAGGCCAGCCACAGGGCAGGTGTCCTCACCCTGCATCTCTGCCCGGTCAAAGGTGCCTATCCCATTCTGCGGGCTGCTGCGTCCTTTGTTCCACAGGGCCACCTCTCTGGGCAGTCACCTCTCCAGCGGAGTCACTGGGCGAGGAGCCCGGGTGGCCCTGGTGGCTCCTCCCCCACAGCAATAAGACCAAAGGCTCCCGGGACTGCAGCGCGGCGCCTCCCTGGGTGGCACCTGAGGGAGGTCACCTTGGCAGCGTTCCCACTGACGAACTAATCCGCAGCCTGGAGAAATCTGAGGGAGATGGCATCCACCAGGGAAGGTGAATGCCCTGCCAAGGAGAGGGTGCAGGGTGGGTTGCTGTGTTGGGCACAATGCCCTTGCTTTTTTTTTTTTTGGTTACCTCACGATCTTGCGCTTGCCAGGCAGGTGCTGTGCCACCGAGCTACATCCCCGGCCCCCACGATGCCCTTCTACAGCAGTGCTTTGCCGAGGCTCACCAGGGCACATCTGCAGTGTCTCAGACACCGGGCGTCACCACAGGGAGACGTGAATTCTACGGCATCGAGTGGGTAGAGGCCGGGGAGGCCGCTAAATGTCCTGCAAGGCACAGGACAACGCCTGCTGCAAAGCGTTGTCCAGCCCGGTGTATCTGCAGCGCCACGGCTGAGAAACTCTGCTCTATAGCAATCTTTGGTCACCCCTTCCCCTCCTCCTCCTGAGCTGGGTGGGACAGTGCTTGGCACTGGGCTTTGGTGGCTGGGGGGAGGGAGGCTGGGGCTGGGCTGAACCTGACATTTCTCTTTCTTTTTTGGTGCTTTGGATGGAACCCAGTGCCATGTGCACGCTCGGTGGGTGCTCTAGTGCTGAGCCCCTCCGCTGGCTCGCTCCGACGTCAGGTAATGCTCCTGGTGAGCTCAAAACCTCCCAGTGGCTGCAGGCAAGACACAGACTCCTTCCTGTGGCCTGGGGGCCTAGGACCAGCTGAGCTCCCGGGCCGTGGCCTCGCCCCTTCTCACCCCTCTGCTCCATTTTCTTTTTTTGTTTTGGTCCTGGAGATTGAATCCATCCCTGTGCTGTACCATTGAGCTCTATACCCCAAAGCTACACAATTTTGTTTTTGAAACACACAGAATATGCCAGGCCTGGCATGCCAGCACTCCAGGAGACTGAGGCAGGAGACCTACAAGTTTGAGCCGAGCCTGAGCAACTTCATGACTGAGGAAGACCCTGTTTCAAAAAATAAAAAAGGGCTGCTGGTGCAGCTCAGTGCCAAGGCCTGGGTTCAGTCCCCACTCTCTCTCCCTCACACACACACCCACCCCTTGCATGTGCTGTTCCCTTTCCTCGGAATGCTGCTCCCAGCTCTCTCTGACACTGGCTCCTGCTCATCCTCCTGGTCTCCTCAGAGGGTCCCCTGACCGATCAGAAGAGGCCTGCACTCTGCCACACCAGGGCCGCCCTCTGTCGTGGGAGTGTGCTCTGTTCCTAGTGCACACGGCTGGGACATAAGGACCACAAAACAGGCTTTTCGCTGGCTTCACTCATGTGCCGTCATTGCTAGGAAGGGCTTGGGACATTCTACGGACTCAGTGAATACTTTACCTGAATTTTATGTGATTTTTAAAAACAACTGTTATGCTTTTAAAAACTACTGTTAAAAACTAGTTGCAGGAAAAAAAAAATACAAAAAACAAAAAAAAAACTAGTTGCAGGGGCTGGGGATTTAGCTCAGTGGCATAGTGCCTGCCTAGCAAGCACAAGGTCGTGAGTTCGATTCCTGGTACCGGAAAAACAACAACGAAAAAATAGATGCAGAGTCTACCTCTGCAACTAGAGGACAAGGTCCACTGAGGGCAGGAGCTCGCCTGCTCCACTCCCAGCATGTGGAACCCTAGATAGCACAGGGCAGATGCTGGATAAGTGAGCTCTTATCTGTACCTTGAAACCCCTCAACTCCTCTACAGCCCCACCCTGCCACCATCCTTGCCTGGGGCTGGAAAGAGTGCCAAACCTGCTGCCCCCGGAGGGCCGCAGTGTCCCAGGAGGAGGTGACATGGTGCAGCAGTTCAAAAGGCTAAGTAGGGTTGCACACGGTGGCTGTGGGCAATTAGCAAGTTACTTAACTGCCCAGCGCCTCTTGTTTCTTTCTCTATTAAGAGAAGATAATAACAGGACACACTCGCCAGGGCTGTCGGAAGGATTCGGCGAGAGCGCAACTGAGCCTGGTACCTGGCATGCAGCATGAGGTTAACCAAGGACAGCCAGTGCGATCCTTCCGAGCCATGTTCTCGGCCCTCAGGTCCGTGCCACAGAACATGATGAAGCCACTCAGCAGAAGGCTTTGGCGGGATGGAGAGGTTGGGGCAGAGACAGGGAAGGTGGCATGCGACTAGACGCCCTTCTGCCCATGGTGGGAGCGCAGGACTCCTCTGGCTTCGGGCTGTCTGTCACTCCTGTGCCATTCGGGGCCTGCCCGGGCGACTGCAGCATGAGGTTAACCTCATGCAGCAAAATGCACACAAATTGCAAACTCACATTCACTTCCAGGAAGCGGAGATACTCGCGGCCGAGGGAGCCCTCAGGCAGGCTCCGGAGCTTGCCCATGTCGAGGGTGGCCAGTGAGATCCGGGGACGCTCCCTGAAAGGCAGAAGGCAGGACCTGGGTATTGGGATGGAGCCAGCAAGGAAGTGACGGGTCCAAGGGCGGGGCACAGGTACTAATGGTGTCTGCGTGGGCCAGGGCAGCGTCAGGGCTGAGACCACCACAAGCCAAGGACACAGGAAGGCCGGCCTCTGGCATGCTCACGCACTCACAAAAGGTCCCACGGGGAAGAGGTACAGCTAGCATGCATCATGGGAGCTTAATGAAGACACAGGGCCACATGGCTGGCACTAGGCTGAGCCACCACTCTGTACAACTCAGAGGTCATTCCAGTGTACATATATGTACGTGAATGGCACCCCTGGAGCTGGGCACGACCCAGCCTCTACAAGCCTCTCTGGTCAGGGTATCAAGAAGAGTTCTCTAGCAGGGCATGGTAGGGCAAGCCTGTAGCCCTAGCTACTCAGGAGGCTGAGGAAGGAGGATCACAAGCTTGGGGCCAGCTTGGGCAATCTGGACAGGGTCTCATGGTGTAGTCCAGGCTGGCCTCAAATTTGCTGCCATCCTCCTACCTCGTCCTACCCAGGGCTAGGAATTACAGACATGCGCCACCATGCCTAGAGTTTGGGCAATTTAATGAGGCTTTGTCTCAAAAAATAAAAAGGGCTGGGCTGTAGCTCAGTGGTAGAGCACTCCTGGATTTGAGCCCCAGGACAGCACAACTAGAAAAATAAACAAAAACCGCAAAGCTTATTTTGCAAACAAATTGGTTTTTCTTGGATTACCTCTGGCAAAACACAGGGTGACTGTGGAAAGAAGAATCCCTGATTATGGGGGCAAACAATCAAACAGTTTCTTTAGTGAAACAGGACTGACACAGTGTGACTCTCGAGGTCAGTATGCCTAGAGAAGGTCCCCAGGCAGAGACGGGACCTACTGTAGGATCTGGGCACCCTCTGGATCCCTTCTCATCCGGTCCCTGAGGACCTTCAGGGTGTAGTATCCTGTGGTCTCCCCTAGAACTGCAACCATGTCTGAAATGACAAAAATGGGCACAGATGGGGGATGTGGTCTCGGGAAGTCACCCGACCTGAGCCTTAGTTTGCACGTGATAAAATACGGATCCTGTGTACCTCTTAGAACAATTTATGATATAGGCTTCGTAACTCACTGGGCACACTGCAAAGGCTCACTAGATTAATAGTTGTCAATGCTATTAATCTAGTAGGCAGGGGTGGATTTGGTGAGCACAGTGCCTAAGGGGTCTGTAACTCTCTTCTCCTTTCTTCTCTGCTCTCCTCTCACTCTCTGAGCAGCATAGGCAGATTTATTAGGTAGAGATAGAAAGAGGAAATGGGAAAGGGGCTTCAGCTTGAGGAGGTAAAGAGTGCACAGTGCTATGGAAAGGATCAGACTGGCCCTGTAAATGACTTTCACGTCCTGTTCTCACAACAAACTATCTCATCTCCACAGGTACAGACTTCAGCATCAGAGAACAGAGCTTGAGTGAAGGCCTATACGCAGCTCATATATAAGTGACCTGGCACAAACTGCTTCACATTTTTCTTTTTTTTTTGGTCTTTTTGAGACAGGGTCTCACTATACAGTTCAGGCTGGCCTTCAACTCACTATGTAGCCTAGGCTGGTCTTGCACTCGAAACAATCCTCCTGCCTCAGCCTCCCAAGTGCTGGGATCACAGGTGTGCGCCACCACACCCGGCTCAGGGGTTAAGTAGGACTTTTTTTAAAAAAAAAAAAAAAAAAACAAGGTCTCACTATATAGTCCAGGCTGGTCTTGAACTTGTGGTGATCCTCCTGCCTCAGCATCCCAAGTGCTGGGACTACAGGTATGCGCCACCACATCCTGCTGCTTCACATTTCTAAGCCTCATTTGTTAAATGCAGGTATCATATCTCATAGGGTTAATGTGAGAAACCCAGAAAATCTTGCATTTAAAGCCCTTAGCACTGTGTTTGACAGGTAGTTAACATCATTCTTTTCTCTCTCTTTTTTTATTCAATGCGGAGGATTGAACCCCGGGCCTCGCAAATGCTAGGCAGTGCTCTACTGATGAGTTAAATTCCCAGTCCCTTATTTTTATTTTGAGACAGTCTTGTTAAGTTGACCAGGGTGACCTCGAATTTGGGATTCTTCTTGCCAGAGCTGCTGAGCAGCTGAGAGTACAGGTTTGCCTGCATTATCGTGTTTATTAGCTGGAGTACAGCACCTTTTGGAACTAAAAAATACTGGGAGTGATGAGAAAGACAACGTAGGAGCACAGAATGTTTTAATTATACATGCAGCAAACATTTACTGAGCATTTATTAGGTGCCAGAAATGCTGCATACACAGTGGACCCGAGCAGTCAGGCCCTTGACCTCATAGTTTACTTTCTACAGGTAATGTTACAGTGTGATGGGTGCTCAGCAATCATGGACTTGTAGGCTGGGGATTTAACTCAGCGACACAGCGCCTGCATGGCAAGTGCGAGGTCGTGAGTTCGATTCCCGGTACCGGAAAAAAAAAAAAAACCACAAAAAAATCAATCATGGACTTGAAAGTACTTTAAAAAGTACTACTCTCAAGAGTACAAATCAACGCTAGTTTTATACAGTTAAAGAAATCTTAAGATCAGCTTCCAGCTTGACAGTGTAAGGAGGCCTACAGAACTGTTCTCAAATGAAACGGAAACAATTTTATAAAACCATTTAGAAGCTGGGCGTGGTGGCTTATGACTGTAATCCCAAAACCCTTGGAAGCTGGGATTAAGTGAGACTCCAAATCAGCAGGACCTGCTCTCAAAATAAAAAGATGGCTGGAAATATAGCTCAGTAGAAAGTGCTTCCTTCCCTGCACAAGGCCCTCGGCTCAGTCCCCAGCGCTACAATCATCTACTTGACCCAGAGGTTTTCAATATAGCTGGATGACAGACTCTCCCGCGAAGAACTTACAAAGGCAGACGTTCAGATTCTACACCACTTTCTACCTCCTTTCCCCCAGCACGACAGATTCTGATTCCCTGAGTTTAGGTGGGAGCCAGGCAGCTGGCTCTTACAAACGTTCCTCATGATAAGGAGATGCAGTCGCCTTCGGGCACCCCCGCCTGGCACCCAATAGGAAACGAAGGCTTTGAAGGGGTCATGACCCGCCCAGGGTTGCAAGGCAAGGGCGCCCGGAATCCTCGCTGCCGCAGCGGAAGAGCCGAGCTCGCGAGTCTCACCGTGGCGATACGGGTCGTACAGCGCCATTCCGGCCGAGCCGGCGGCTAGCAGCGCCTTCTGCAGCGGGGAGGTGGGAATGTGGTCCGGGTATAACAGGCTGGCGCCATGGATCCCAGCTCGGAAGGGCCCATCTGCGAGGTAAGAAAAAGATAGAGATCAGAGAAGCCCAGCGCTCGCATGCTCTTCCCGCCTAGCACTGATATGCGGCGTCACTTGCCCGCAGCAGGCCAGGAACTACCCCGGAGTCGGCAGAAGGGACGCAGGACCCGGAGCAGCGGCGTCGCCATGGCAGCGGACGTCCGCCGGCGCGTGGGCGGGGCAAGGTTGACGTTCCATCGTTCCGAGGGGACGGAGCGCCGGAGAAGTCAAAAAGGCCATCCCGATTGCTGCGCTGCTGCCAATGATGGGAAAACATTGTAGCTTGGGCAGGAAGGGGTCCTATGGCTAAATAGGAGGAGGAAACCCACGTGACCAGAGTGCCGCCTATTTCCACCGATATAAAACTGTCTTCATTTCCCTAAACCCCAAACAGGGTCTCCAAAAGAGATGTAACCCCCACTAGCTCAAATCCCGGGCCCTATTTCCTTCCCAGAGTCACGTTTCCCCCGAGTACAAGAAGCTGAGAACCTCTTCCGGCTGCGGAACCTGGTGGCTTCTATTGTGAGGACCACATTTGGAGCCGGACCGGACGGCACTTCCGTTCACATCTCAGCCTTTTGGCTCGCGCGTTGAGAGAATGGGGTCCTCTGGCCTGGCTCGGCTGCACGGGCTCTTCGCGGTGTATAAGCCCCCGGGGCTAAAATGGCTGCACTTGCGGGATACGGTAGAGATGCAGCTTCTGAAAGGTGAGTTCCTTCTGCCAGACCCACGATCCTGCTCCGTGTGTCCTCTGTTTCTGATCTTACCAGCAAAGTAGTCATGTGACCTGTTCGTTCGGGCTGATTGCTTTCTTAACCATCTATTCGGTATACTTCATCACGCGTCATTGTTTCCCTATTTACAACGGGAAACTGATTCAGTATTGTTCTTACCACACGATTCATTGGGAGAGTCAGGAATTGAGCCCACGTCTTTGTTAACTGAAAGATCTCTTGTGTGTCCAGGTCTCAACGCCTGCAAGCCTCCTGCCCCGAAACAACGTGTTCGCTTTTTGCTGTGTCCCGCGGAAGGCAGCGAAGAGAAGGAACTGACCCTCACAGCCACCAGTGTGCCTACCCTCACCGACCACCCGCTGGGTATGACGATGCAGGCAAGATCCTGGGTGTCACTTCCCAGGAACTCCACAGGGGCAGTGTGCCTGTGCTCAGACTCCTGCCCCCACCCTTGAAGGGCCTCAGTGAAGTGAATTAAGTGCTAGGTCAGAGATTGGCAAACTGACCTGGAAAGGTCCAGGTTCTGAATAGATATAAGTACATGTATGTTTTATGTGAATATATCTACATTTATTATTATTATTATTATTTTTTTGGTCTTTTTGAGACAGGGTCTCATTATGCAGTTCAGGCTGGCGCTGAGCTCACTTTGTAGCACAGACTGGCCTTGTGAGTGCCGGGATTACAGGCTTATGCCACCACACCCCATTTGTGCTTGGTTTTTTGGGACAAGGTCTCACTATGTATTCCAGGCTGCCTTCAAACTCATTGTATAGCCCAGTCTGGCCTCAAACTCATGGTGATCCTCTTGCCTCACTCTCCTGAGTGCTGGGATTATGGACATGTGCCACCACATGCAGCCAGATTCTGAATTTCTTTTTTCAGATTCTGAATGTTTTAAGCCTTCCAGGGCATGTGATTTGTGTTGTAGCCACTTAGCTCTGCCATTGTAGTATAAAATAGGTATAGGCAGCAGGGAAAGGAAACTGGCTATGTTTCTTTTCCTTTCCTTTTCTTTCTTTTTTTTTTTTTTTTTTTTTGTCTTTTTGAGACAAGGTTTTGCTATGCAGTTCAGGCTGGCCTTGAGCTTACTTTCTAGCCAAGGCTGGTCTTGAACTCGCAACAATTCTCCTGCCTCTGCCTCCCGAGTGCTGGGATTACAGGTGTGCGTCACCACGCCTGTTATAGACAGTTGTGTGTACCTGTAGTCTCAGCTACTTGGAAGGCTGAGGCAGGAAGATCATTCGAGGCTACGGGTTCTAGGCCAACCTCCGCAATATTGTAAGATGCTCTATCTTTAAAAAGGAAAAACAAGGCCAGATGTGGTAGCGCACGCCTATAATCCCAGCACTGGGGAGGCTGAGGCAGGAGGATAGTTGTGAATTCGAGACCAACCTTGGCTAGAAAGTGAGCTGAAGACCAGCCTGAACTGCATAGTGAGACCCTGTCTCAAAAAGACAAAAATAAAAAAATAAAAATAAGGCAAAGCAAAGGCTTGTAATTTGGCCTGTGGACTGTGGTTTGTTGAGTCTTACTAGTCTAGGACTCCAGGTGGGAAGTGAGGCTATCAGGTAGAATTCTTTTTGTTTTGTTTCATTTTGTCTTTTGAAACCGGGTCTCATTATATAGTCTAGGCTCACCTTGAACTCACAACTGGTATGCAGCCCAGGCTGGCCTCAAATCCTGGTGACCCTGCCTTAGCCTCCCAAGTGTTAGGATAACAGGGATGCACCACCGTGCCCAGCTTGAAGTCTCTTACTGGGAGAACTGTGGTAGGGAAATGTATTTTTATTTTTTATTATTATTTATTTATTTTTGTCTTTTTGAGGCAGGGTCTCCCTATGCAGCTCAGGCTGGCCTTGAGCTCACTTTATAGCCCAGGCTGGTCTGGAACTTTCAGCGATCTTCCTGCCTCAGCCTCCTGAGTGCTAGGATTACAGGCATGCGCCACCATTCCTGGCTATGGGGATAGAGAAATTTAGAGGCCTCTTGTGTTGCTCTTCCTCCAGGCCCTGGAGAACTGAGGAGGCAGTTCTGGGCTCCACATTCCATGGCGGGGCAGCCTGAGGGTCCAGCCTGATCCTAGTGATGGCTCCATGGGCCTTCATTCTAGGAGTGAGGTCATTGTGCAGCCCAGTGCCGTCTTGGTGGTGGGATCTGTTGAGAAATGGACTTGCTGTTTCTTTCCAGTGCGTGGGCCGGCATTCACCAACCTGAAGATCGGAGTGGGACACCGGCTGGATGTCCATGCCTCAGGCGTGCTCGGTAAGTGACATGGGCATCCTTGGGGTGCAGTGATATGGCCTTGGAAAGGATCAGGAAGCTGCCAGGTGCTGACACCTACCTTCTACCACTGCCCACCTTTCCTGATGACTACCCCATGTCTCTGATCAGTGGGAGGGAGGGAGTCATAGGACAGTGATGACAGTGGCCCACCTTTATCAACTGATTCCTGCATATGAACATGTGGTTCAAGGTCTTTATTTGTGTTGAGACAGGGTCTCACTCAAGTCCATGCTGGCCTTGAACTCACTGTGTAGCCCAGCGTGGCCTGGACTGCTGGCTATCCTCCTGCCTCAGCCTCCTGAGTTCCAGGCTTACAGGTTTGTGCCTCCACTCCTGGCTCAAGGTCTTTTATGCACATTTGTTCACCCCGTCTACCTTATTAGGTAGACCCTGTGTGGCTCTGTAGATGAAGAAAGCGAGGCTTCAGAAGCTTGGTGAGCTGGGGATACAGCCAGTGGCACAAGCACCTGCCTGGCAAGTGCAAGGTCTTGAGTTTGATTCCCAGTACCCCCCAGAAAAGAAGCTTAGGTGACTTGGCCTGGGTCAGTGCTGTGGCGTGTGAACGTCTCTGTTCCCCAGTGGGAACACCTCATCCCTCTGGGGCGCAGCTGGGTGGGTGACTCGCCCCCTGGCCAGCGTCTGAATAGTGTCAGAGCTGGAGACTCCCTGAGTCATGAGCTGTTTGTGTGCCCGGCGTCAGGGGGAGCCACTTCCCCACCCTTGACCATTGTGGTCCCCTTGTCTTGCCTCTGGGACTGTAGCCCAACAGATGTGACCTCGTGCCCCCTCGCTGTCCCGCTCCAGGAGCAAATGGAGAGGGTCATTCTCTCCTTCAGCCTGAGGGACACAGACTGGGAGAGAGCCAGGAAGAGGCCACAGCGACCACTGGTTTTTTTCTTTTCTTTTTTTTTTTTTTGTTGGTTTTTCTCCGGTACCGGGAACGGAACTCATGACCTTGCGCTTGCCAGGCAGGCGCTTTTGCCGCTGAGCTAAATCCCCAGCCCCTGGTTTTTTTCTTTGTTTTGTTTTTTTTTTGCTTTTTTCTGGAGCCGGGAATCGAACTCACGACCTCGCATTTGCCGGGCAGGCACTGTGCAGCTCAGCTAAATCCCCAGACCCCAGACCACTGTTTGTTGGTCCCTTCCTCTGTGCTGATCTCAGCCTGTGCATTGCGTCTTTTCATCTGCATGATGCCCGTGGGTACCAGGCGGTATATGTGCCCCAACTTACTGATGGGGGTTTGAGCCCCAAAGAGGTCAAAGGTGATGTTCAGAGCCATCAGATTTGATGGCAGCCAGGCGTGGTGGCACAGGCTTGTAATCCCAGCACTTGGGAGGCAGGAAGATGGGCACAAGTTCAAGGCCAGCCTGGGCTACATAGTGAGTCCAGGCCAGCCTGAATTACATAGTGAAACCCTGTCTAAAAAAACAGAAAAAGCCAGGTGTGGTGGCACACACCTGTAATCCCAGCACTCGGGAGACTGAGGCAGGAGGATCGTTGCAAGTTCGAGGCCAGCCTGAACTGCATAGCGAGACCCTGTCTCAAAAAGACAAAAAAGAAACCCAAAAAATCAAAAGAAGAAAAAAAGAAAAAAAACAGATTTCACTGCAGCACTGTGGGACTGAGCCATCCTCTTCCTTTTGAGTACATCAGAAACGCCTGGGGAGCTTGCCAAGGGCCCCAGGCCCCTCATCCACCGTGAGGTAGATTCTGTATGTGCGGGTGGGACCTAGAAACTGGCCTTTTGCTGTCCCCCCCAAGGAGGGCATGTTCTCGGGGCGGGAGGTGGGTGGGAGTGGCATGAAAGGGGATGCCAGATGGGGGTGCCTTTCAGTGCTCGCCGTGGGACACGGATGCAGACTCCTCACTGACCTGTACGACACTCACCTCACCAAGGTACGGGGCCTGGAGCAGCTGCCCGGGCCTGGGCCCTTTCAAGGGGATAGCAAGAGTCTGACGCCGGGGCTTCCATAAGGAGCTGGGCCATCAGCAAGCTTGTTTTATAGTCACTTTCTTTTTCTTCCTGGTACTGGAATCAAACTCACGACCTTGTGCTTGCCAGGCAGGTGCTTGTGCCGCTGAGCTCCATCCCCGGCGCTATGGTCACTTTGAGGGGCACTGTGATAGTGACAGTAACCCCCGGCATTAGCACATGCCGACTCCTCTGCAAGCACTGTGCACACCTTCCTTTGGGGCAGGCTCATCACTTCCGGTGCTGTCGATCCCATTTACAGATGAGAGAGCCGAGGTTCAGACGGGGTGCCCTGCTCAGTTCACGGAGCCTTTAGGCTTTAAGAGCTGGGGTTTGACACCGGTCAGTGCCACACCAGGGCCTGGTGACAGCACCGTGTTGTCTCCGTAAAGCTGAGAAGTGTGTGTCCCTGTGCGGCCCTTGGGGAGCTTCTCTTGGAGGTGGGGCCGTGGATCTAGCACCCAGACGTGTGTGTGGAGGGGCCACATCTTTAGTGTGAAAATCGCAAGACTTCGGGTTTAAAACCTAGCGTCAGTGCCGGGGTGTGCTCAGTGGCAGGGCTACACCACTGTAACCCCAGCAGCGAGCCCTGGGTTCCGTCCCCAGCGCCCACCCAAAACAAAGCCCTCGAGCTCCTACCCACAGCCAGGCATCCTCGGAATGTGTGCTGCTGAAGCAAGCACCAGCCAGGAGTCCTGGGTCACTTAGCATCTGTGCTTGTTTCCTTTTCTCTGAAGTGGGGGTGCAGCTGGAACTCCCCCGGTAGGGCTGCTCCAGACATGAACCGAACAGCTGCGTGTGGAGCGCTTAGCACAGTCCCCAGGCCATGGTGCAGGCTCAGTAAAGTCCTTGTCCTCACTCTTCCTTGTGGAAGACACGGCCAGGTGTGCAGAGTTGGAGGAAGGGGAGTCCCTGGAGCGTGGAGGCGCAGGGATCGACGCGGGCCACAGGGCACCCTTGGCTGGAGGAGGCAGCTGTGGAGGCGGGGTGGCTGCAGGGTGGCCGTCACTGCCTTTGTAGGTGGGCCCGTGCACCAGCACGGTGAGATTGGCCCTGCCTGGCCCCAGGTCCCAGAGGAGAACTGGGGTACAGAGAGAGCTACCGGAGGCCCCTAGCAGAGCAGACACCTTCCCCAGGGGCTGGGAGCTCCCCAAGGGAGCACGCGGGTCCCACCCAGCCTCCACCTCCGACCTCCTTCGTGCATGCCTCGGAGCGGATGCACTGACTGCAGCCTCCCCTGCTCCTCGCAGGTGTACACAGTGCGAGGCCTGCTAGGCAAAGCCACAGACGACTTCAAGGAGCACGGGCGGCTGGTAGAGAAGACCACATACGGTAGAGTACCCGCACACGCTCGCTTTGCCGGGGCGTCTCAGCCCGCCCAGCCACGCTGGGGCCAGCTGGGGCCTTGGCCTTGGCCCCGTCTCCCAGAATGCCCTGTGCTCACTTTCCTGCCTGCCTCAAATGTCCCCTCCTCCAGGCAGTCTGCCCACAGGCGTAAGCTGGGTGGACGCTCAGAGTGGAGAGCAGCTGATGACAGTGCCCGCCACACTCAGCCAGGACAGCAAGGCGTATGAGGGGCCCTCGGGCCGCACGCGTCGCACAGGGCCCGGGGCGTGGGGGGCGGGTTGGATGCGGACCGTTGGGTGGCTGGGTGATGGAAGGCAGGTGGGTCGTCATTCTTTTCTTTTCTTTCTTCCTTTTTTTTTTTTTTTTTTGTCTTTTTGAGACAAGGTCTCATTATGTAGTTCAGGCTGGCCTTGAGCTCACTTTGTAGCCCAGGCTGGCCCCGAACTTGCAGCAGTCCTCCTGCCTCAGCCTCAGGGTGTGCCACCATGCCTGGGCTGCTTTTGTTTTTTGAGAGGGAGTCACACTGTGTCGTTCAGACTGGTCTTAAACTCACTACATAGTCCAGGCTTGCCTAGAATTTGTGATCCTCCTGCCTCAGCCTCCCGAGTGTTGGGATTATTACACCCAGCTGGATTGCTCTTTCCTTCACCAGCCCCGCCTTCAGAGGCGTTTCTCTTGCACGTGTTCCTCCGACAGATGTCTTGAGCGCCAGCCATGTGCCAAGCGCCGGGAGGATCTGTGGTAAATCACTGGGTGTCCCCGCCGCAGTGAACTCAGCCTTGCATGCACCCACCCCCAACCAGCTTCTGTGTAAGACAGAAAACGTGGCAAAGCCCCACTGCATTTGCACGTGGAGGCAGGGGCCAGCCTCCTGCAGCTCCTTGGATCAGGGCTCACGCTGCTGCCTCTGCGATGGCGGAGGGAGGCAGAGTTTGGAGAAGCGGGGAAAGGTGGTGGTTGCTACTGATTGACATTTCTGTAAGAGGATCCAGGAGTCCGTTATATAACTAAGCCATGGGTAGAAGTCCAAGACCGGGGAGTGCTAGAAAGGGAGCCCGCAGGAGACAAGCCAGGGGGACGAAGCAGCCGGGTCCAGGAGGGCGTCCTGCTGGAGGCCGCATTTGAGCCTGGCCCTCAGGCCGGGAGGAGGCAGAGACAGGCGTGTTCCAGGGGAGACGACCGTATAAGCACTGCCGGCGGGAGGATGGCGAGGCCTGTGCCCGTCCAGGTCAGCGAACCTCCTCGCCCACACCTGCTCCCTTGAACCAGAAGTTGGCACCTTCCACGGCTGGGCACCGGGACCTGAGCTTCCTGGGAGATTGTGAAAGGCCCCAGGGGCAGGGGCCTTTTACAACTGCCTTCAGCAGTTGCTTAGTAGGAGCAGGGGACAAAGCCAGTCCCACCCCTCCTCGCAGCCTGTGTGCACATGGTCCCTCGAAGGGTCCCTGCCATGGAGTGTCGGGCTGGTTATGGTATGCCTTTGGCCCTACATTTCTAGGGTGCATGTGTGACCGAGGGCCGAACCCACACGGAGCTGTGTCCGCCTTTTTATTTCTTACGTTGAGACGGGGAGTCACGAATTCACCAAGTTGCTCCGAGTGGGCTCAAACTGTCTCAGCCTCCCGGAGCACTGGGGTTACGGGTGTGCACCTCCATGCCTGGCTCGGAAGAAGATATTCTGGGTGACGTTCATGAGGTCTTCGGGCCCTGGAAAATACCTGCAGAACGTTAAATCCCTATGCATCTTCCTGAGAGGAGGGTGTCGAGTTTTTGTAACGACTTCCCCGGAGCAGGGCAGGTGGGACCTGCCTGTAACCAGCGCTGAGGCTCAGAATTGAGGCAGGAGGCTCCACATTGCAAGGTCAGCTCGGGCAGCTAGGGAAGACCTGTCTCAAAATAAAATTTAAAAAAGAGGGGCTGGCAAGGGTAAGGCGCTTACCTGGACTCTGCTGAGCGCTGCATCCCCTGCAAAGCCCCGGGCTGGTGCTTCGGTGCGTTCCAAGTGCAGGGCTGGTGTGGCGGAAGGAGCTGCCAGTGTTCTGTCGCCGGCCCTCAGCGGACACCGTGCACTGACCACCTGCACCCCACCCCTCTTCCAGATCACGTGACCAGAGAGAAGCTGGAGCGGGTCCTGTCTGTGGTCCAGGGCTCCCACCAGAAGGCGCTGGTGATGTGCGTGGCCCGGGGAGGTGCTGGGACAGCGGGACTTCTAGTGACCTTCCTCAGAAATGTCAGCCGAGTGGGAGCCCCGCCCCTCCCAGGGCTCACAGGAGTGTTCTGTGTGCCAGCCGGGGGGAGTCCGAGCTCTAGGAGCCTCTTGAGGAGCCTGGGTTCTGGTGGGGAGGAAGCCAAAGACCAAATGCTCAAGGCCAGATTGGAGGGCAGGGGAGGGTCCCTCTCATCCTGGGAGCTGGGGGCTGCTCTCAGCCTGTGTGAGACCCCGGTGTGAGACAGCATCAGCAGCCTGGCCTTGGGCAAGGCCCTCACCTGCCGTGTGCCTCGCTTTCCTTGTCCGTAAGTTGGACAGGAAGAATTCCTGCCTTACGGCTAGGCATTGTGGACATGCCTGTCATTTCAGCACTTGGGAGGCTGAGACAGGAGAATCGCTGTGAGCTCAAGGCCAGCCTGGGCTACATAGTGAGCTCAAGGCCAGCCTGGACTGCATAGTGCCCCCACACACACTAAAAGAAAAGGAAAGAAAAGACTGGAGGCTTCTTTAAAGATGGCCAGAGCAGCAGCGAAGGCAGACACCTTCACCCCTCACGGGGCAGCAGGCTGGGCAGGGCTGTGACCTAGCCCCCTGCTCTGTAGCACCCAACCTCCATGTCCTTCTGGCTCCCAGGTACTCCAACCTGGACCTGCAGTCGCAGGAGGCCTATGAGATGGCTGTAAGAGGCGTGATCCGGCCCATGAGCAAGTCCCCGATGCTGATCTGCGGCGTCCGATGCCTCCACTTCGCGCCTCCGGAGTTCCTCTTAGGTGGGTCGTGGAGGCTGGAGCTGTGAGGGCGTAGGTGCAGAGCGGTGGCAGATGCCGAGGTTCAGCTCAGCTGAGGCCCTGGTCTCTGCTGGCCCAGGCTGCGGGGGCTGACTCCTCTCGCTCCAGCCGCTGACAGGTTGCCCTGAAGCGCTCGACTTTGGCACACAGCTCGTGCCTGGCAGCTCACCGCCGTCTGCAGTGCCAGCTGCAGTGACTCCCATCACCAGGGGCCCCCAGCTCCCTTGCACCCAGTGCTGCCCAGACCCGCCCCAGGACCCCTATTCCGTGACTTCGACCTGTTAATAAGGGCTCCTTTTCTTGAGTGGTGATGCTCTCTAAGCACCCTATATAAATGAAGCCTTAACTCTTCGTGGCCCCATTTTACAGATGAGCAAACCAAGTCTTCAGTACATTACCTGGGGGTCATTCAGACGCAGGTTCTAACTCAGTAGGTGCAGGTCAGGGGCCTGAGATCCTGCACATCTGACCCCCAACCCCCCCTGGCCTTCAGGCTGAGCAGCAGAGCCCGGACAGGAGGCTCTGGTCGGGAGGTGTTCCCAGGGCGTGGGCCCCAGGGCTGTGCTCCTGAGGTCACGCTCACCTGTGTGTCCGGCAGAGGTGCAGTGCATGCACGAGACACAGCAGCAGCTCCGGAAGCTGGTGCACGAGATCGGCCTGGAGCTCAAGACGACTGCCGTCTGCTCCCAAGTGCGACGCACATGCGACGGCTTCTTCACACTGGACGATGCCCTCCTGAGGACCCAGTGGAACCTGCACAGCATCCAGGACGCCATCCAGGCTGCAGCCCCCCGGGTGGCGGCAGAGCTAGAGAAGAACCTGAGGCCACAGTCTGGCACCGAGCAGCTCCCCGGTCCTGCCGGGCCTGGGGTCTCTGGGTGCCCGAACTCTACCTTGGGGGTAGGGCACTGAAGGGCCGGGCAGCTGGTGGGGTGCTGTGCAGATTAAGGTAAAGGCTCAACATTTAAGAGCCAGAAGTGCTAAGTGTGCAGGAAATAAGTACAGGAAGTGTAGCAAATCCCAGGACTCTTGGAGGCTGAGGCAGGAGGGTCATGAATTTGAGCCTAGCCTGCGCAACTTAGCAAGACCTTGTCTTACAGTAAAAAATATTGAAGGGCTGGGGATGTACCTCAGTGTAGGGGCTCAAAATTCAGTCCCCCATATCGGGAGAAAAAAAAAGTCTGGTCTACATTAGACACAAAACTGAAATTGTAGCTGGGTGTGGTAATGCACACCTATAATCTCAGCACTGGGGAAGCTGAGGCAGGAGAGTCACTCTGAGTTTGAGGCCAGCTGGGCTACAAAGTGAGCTCAAAGCCAGCCTGAACTTCATAGTGAAACCCTGTCTCAAAAAGACAAAAACAAAAAAATCCAAAGCTCAGTTTCAGCTGGGTGTGGTGGTGCACACCTGTAATTGAGGCACTCAGGAGGCTGAGGCAGGAGGATTGGATGCTCCATCTAAACTTAGCAGTTTAGCTGGGTATGGTGGCACACACCTGTGATCCCAGCACTCAGGAGGCTGAGGCAGGAGGATTCTTGGAAGTCTGAGGCCAGACTGAACTGTGTAGTGAGACCCTGTCTCAAAAAAAAAAAAAAGGAACAGTTTAGTGAGAACCTGTTTTAAAATAAAACAGAGATTGGGCCTGCAGCTTAGTGTGAAGGCCCTGGGTTTAATCCACAGTACAAAGAAGAACAGCTCAGCTTCCTTGTCCATGAGATGAGCACGGTGATTTTGCCCACCTGTGATTGACGGGGGCAGTGAGTCGGGTGCTTCTCCCAGCGCCTGGTGCATGTCATATGCTGCCAGGGAGCTGTCACCTTGAGGCCGCTGTCCCCTCTGCATCTCCTCAGAGCCGAGGTGGGCACGGAGGGTCCCCTGCCCTCCACTTCGTCCCTCTGGCATGCAGGTCTGCCTGCCGGGGCAAGGACAAGCTGGGCCTCGGCGGGAGCATGTCGCTTCCCCCCATGGGTGGGATGCCCGAGGTCCTTCGCCTCTGTGTCTTTCTCCTGTGTCCTTCACCCGAGTCTTGTGCAAAAAATCAGCCAGAGGCGAGGAGCAGAGCGTCCCACGGGACGGAGCAGCCACCGTCAGAGCAAGGCCGGTCAGGGAAGCATCCACCCCAGGAAGAGCCTGGAGACGCGTGACTGGGTGACCCGTCGGTGGTGTTCAGGAGCAGGTCAGGGCCACAGGAAGATGGTGGCTTTGAGGTATGCAGAGAAACTAGTGCAGTAACAGCCGTTGTCCTTCTGTGAGAGGTTAATACCCTAATGCGGGTCTGCGTGCCTGGTGTGGGAAGTCTTTGCTCAGATTTGTTCTGTAGCTGGCCTTAAGGCGTATAATCCCTGGGCTTTTGGAGGCTGGAAGAGTGAAGATCAAATCCTACCTGACAATTTACCGAGGGCTGTCTTTAAAAGGGCCGTGCCGGGCTGGGGATGTGGCTCAGCAATAGAGTGCTCTCCTAGCATGCACAAGGCCCTCAGTTCAATCCCAGTACTCTGCACACAAAAAAATTAAAATAAAATTTGAAAAAGGGGTGCTGTGTGTGGTAGTGCATGGCTGTAATCCCCACACTTGAGAGGCTGAAGCAGGAGGATTGCTGTGAGCTCAAGCCCAGCCTGGGCTACGTAGGAGACCTTTGTCCTGCAGATTCATCCTCGCGTTTCTGCCTTCACCGGGGCGTGGTGTTGTCCATGGATGTGTGTCTCCCAGTGGCCCCCCCCCCCGTTTATAAGCCCCCCCCATCGGGTGAGAGGCCCACCCTGCTGTGGTGTGGCCGCACCTAGCTAGCCATTTATTTCCTGGGACTCAAAGTCAGGTCCCTTTCTGAGGTTGTTAGGGCTCGTCTGTATTGCGGGTGGATTAGCCCGGCCCAGGATGGCCTCATGCTTCTCGGGGCACAGCTGTCCCGCAGTCTGCCACTGGGACAGACCCACGCCTGCGGCCAGTGTGGCACCGCGCCGTGAGTGTGCAGGACGGCGAAGGGCCGGCAGCGCTCAGCTCCCTGCTGCCAGGCTGTGGTGGGCAGGACGCTGGGCCCTCAGAGGTGTGGGGTGGAGCGACATAGGCCGGGGTCTGCTATTCTCTACTGCACTGACCAAAAAAGCTCTGCCTGTATCCAAGGAAAATTGTAGATTCTGTGTTTCTCCGATCTTGTTCTAGAACTGACAAAGTGTGGGCAGTTGGTGTTTGATTGTAAAGCTAAGACGCTGGGTATAATGGCCCACGTCTGTCTTCCCAGCACTCAGGAGGCTGAGGCAGGAGGACTGCTGTTTGAGGCCAGCCTGGGCTGCACGGTGGGTTCAAGACTAGCCTAATGAGACCCTGTCTCAAAAGGCAAAAACAAATACAGAAATAAAAAAGCTAAGAATGGCGGCACACCTATAATCCCAGTACTTGGGAGGCTGAGGCAGGATTACTGCTGTGAGTTGAGGCCAGCCTGGGCTACATGGTGGGTTCAAGACCAGCCTGGTGAGACCCTTTCTCAAAAGGCAAAAACAAATACAGAAATAAAAAAGCTAAGAATGGTGACACACACCTATAATCCCAGCACTGGGGAGGCTGAGGCAGGAGGATCGTTGCAAGTTTTGAGACCAGCCTGGTCTACAAAGTGGGCTCAAGGCCAGCCTGAACTGCATAGTGAGACTCTGTCTCAAAAAGACAAAAAAAAGCTAAGAAAAATATCTCACGAGTCCATGAAAAGGGGGCTGTCTGCCTCGCATATAGTGTGGAAGCTGCAATCTCTCTTCCTTGGGGGACCTGTCTCTTCTCCTGAGGCCTTTAGTTGACTGGATGAGGCCCCCACATGTGGAGGGTAGGTGATATGCTTTACTGAAAGTCTGCTGATGCCGTGAATGGTGGTGCCCGCCTATAATCCCAGCACTCGGGAGGCTGAGGCAGGAGGATCGCTGTGAGCTCAAGGCCAGCCTGAACTGCATAGCAGACCCTGTCTCAAAAAGACAGATACATGCATACATACATAAAGCCTGTCTTGCCAGGTGTGGTAGTGCACATTTGTAAATCCCAGCACTCAGGAAGCTGAGGCAGGAGGATCATGAAGAGTTTGAGGCCAGCCTGAACTACATAGTGAGACCCTGTCTTAAGAAAACAAAAATAATGCCTGTCTCATAGTTGACAAGATGAGCCTAAATCTACAAGGCAAACTGCTCTCTAGGGACCACGAAATTACAGTTAGTGTATTTAACTTCATTTACTTAAATTGGCTAGGTTTTAGACACTATGGTTATCCTCATTTTTTATTTTATTTTTTAATTTTTTTATCCTCATTTTATAAATGAGAAACTAAAGCATTAAGAGTGCAAATGACAGCCAGGTGTGGTTGGTGCATGCCAGTAACCCCAGTACTTGGGAGGCTGAGGCAGGAGACAACTGTGAGCTATAAGGGGTCCTGGGCTACATAGTTACAAAACCAGGCTAGAATAGATATGCATCCCTGTCTCCAAACAAACAAACAAAAAAGGAGAAGGTGTATTGTTCCTATGCTATTTCGTAAATGGATGTATGTTTGTTACTATGTGTTTTCAACAACAACCACTGAGAATAGTCAATGATTATTTGATTGATCACTCATGTATAGCTCTATTTGTTTTCCCTAGAGACCACTTTGGAGAATCCAAGCTATAGTACAACAACCATCCATAATTTCCTGCCATTTTTGTCTGTAACTCACTATTATTTGTCTATTTGTTTTCATGAGAAACTATCTTGAAGATACCAATAGGTAAAATAACAACCATTGATAATGTCCTACCACTTTGTAATTCAGGAATCCCCCTATTGCTATGTTGTCCTTTTACTCTTAAAAAAAAAAAAAAAAAAAAAAAGGAGAAGGGGAAGTGATTAGGTCACAAGGTAGAGCCCTGGTGGACTGAATTTGTTTCTTTACAGAAGAGCCCCCCCCACTGGCTGGGGCATGGCTCAGTGCTAAGCACTTTCCTACTCTGTGAGGCCCTGGTTTCCGCTCCCAGTATTGCAAAAACAAACAACAAAAAGGCCCAAGAAAGCTCATTAGCTCCTGGCATTATAGATAGCTAAATTCTTTAAACCATGTGTGGTGTTGCACACCTGTAATTCCAATACTTGCAAGGCTGAGGCAGGAGGAGTGCCTTCAGTTCGAGGCCAATCTCGGCTACAAAGTGAGTTCAAGACTTGGTTATGCTGGACATGGTGGCGCATGTCTGTAATCCCAGCACTTGGGAGGCTGAG